TATCTATTAAAATCTCTTTGATCCTGTTACACTTTACAGTCTTTCCTCAAACTCATCCCTTTTGAGGTTCCTCAGAATCCCAGACCATCTTTGTTTAAAAGTAGACTTTGGGAGCCCTTTGTCCCCAGAACTCAGGAGCCTGGTTCATCATAGGACCCTCCTATGGGCTTCTCCTACATTCTTATGCTCAGGTTCCCCCCTCTTCCTTCTCTTAGTCTAACATAAACAGTATTACTGCTTCCTTTCTCCCCCTAGAAACCTTCCCCTTGGCTCCCTAGGAAGCTAGGTTGCCAGCCTGTCAGCATTTAGGGTCATCTGCGGCATTGAGGCAGAGGGATCCACCATCTTCCTTGCCTGTCTGTGCCTGTCTGTGTTCCTGTTGGAAGCACCAGATGCTGTGGGAGTTCTACCCACAGGACTTTAAAAAAGACTTTCATAAAGTCTATCGCCACTGAGTTCTGAGTAAGTCATGGGATAAGGTGACCAGTGCTTTTATTGATAAGTAAATGGAAAAAGAATAGGAGGCAAAAAGTAGAAATAAAGTTTTCACAATGAAGAGAAGTAAGGTGTGGGGTTCCACAATGATCTGTATTGGGACTGATGCTTTTGAATCTGTTCATAAATGAAATCAGAGGTAAGCAGCGAGAAGACCAAATTTGCCATTGTTGGTGACACCCAGTTATCAGGGCTGGTAAAAACAAAAAGCAACGGTTCAGAGGTTCTTGTGTAGCCAGGGATATGAGCACAGAAGCCCACTTCTTCATGGGGGAAATCACCACATAGATTGGTGTGTTTCCTTCTGAAAATTTTTCTTCTGAGCCTGAGTCCACCAGCTGGAATCCATGAGAATCCAAGACACTTGAACCTGAGCACCCACACACAATGTCAGGGGCTGAACTGAGGAGGAATGGTGGGGGCTGTCCCCCTTCTTCTTTTTTAAAAAAATAATATTTATTATTTTTAAACCTTACAAAAAAGAAAGAAGAATAAAGAAGAAAAACATACAATACAATATATAAACAATAGACAACACAACATTAACACATTAAACAAAGCAAAAACAAAAACAGTTAAAAAACACACATCATACCATCTCAATATCCTCTCTTTCATTCCCTTATTTCATCGACCTCCTCTCACCTCCCTTTTTGTATTCCATTTCTATTAATTGTTTCAGCAAATCCTTTCCATCTTTCTCTATTTTCTGTCATATATGTCATCTTAACATATTTTAACCTTATTTTCCATTAAAATTATAATACTTATTTATGCTTAATTCCTTAAGGCATTTCTACTAAAGCCATATAATTTCCTTCCAACATTTTTCTAACATTCATTAATTTTACATTATTTCCATATATAGATTTTAAACTTTTTCCAATATTCTTCCACCGACTCTTCTCCCTGGTCTCGGATTCTGCCAGTCATTTCCGTCAATTCCATATAGTCCATCAACCTGGTGATCTTCTGTCCGAGGCTCTTAACTCTTTTCCAAGTCCCTTCAGTGAGTCTTCTTCATGTTTATACATGCACTTTACTTTGTCTTCTCCTGATCTTGTTCTTATTTTCCTTCCTCTGATGCTGAAAAGTAAATATCGAGGAAATTCCCACCTAGCAATGCTTTTATTCCTTCTCGACAAATCAGCCAGATCTCCATAGTTAAAACTAAAATTCACAAGGTATTTCCAGTCGTATTTCAAAGTTCCTCCAAGTCTAGCGGTCCCCACAACTCCAGTCTCCTCCTGGCCCAAGTCAAAGTCCCAAAAGTCAATGAATCCCTGCATGAAGGGATCTATCCAACTTTCCTTCTCCAGTCCAAGCGGGGCTCCAATCCTCAAAGTCTGGCTTTCTCTAGATTCCGTCATAAAAGGCATCCACTTATAGTCATCAAATTGCATCTGTGAAGCTGGGGCTCTAACAACTTTCTCCCCCGCCTTCTCCTCAATTTGCCATGTCAAGGTAGATCCCTATATCGATTCCTGAATAGTTTCTGTATTAATATTCACTTTTTGTCCAAAATTAGTCACTTTTTGTTCCAAGTTATCAATTTTTATAATCGTCACATCCGTTTTCCTATGGAGCTGTTCCAGTGAGTCATTAATCTTACATAATGCAACCACTAAGGCTTCTTCTGTCAACATTCTTAACAGTCCAAGGTCAATCCCAGATTCTCACGATCTTGTCTTGCAGCTGGAAATTCCCCACTCAGCTCATGTAACAATTTCAAAGGCTTCCTCTAGGGGGAGACAATTTCTATTTGTATTAATCCTTTTAAGCACAGTTCAAACAATAAAGTTAGTTTCAATTTTCAATTACATTTACTCCTTATTAAACGCAGAAGGAAACAATGGAAACAATATATTTCTCTTCTTTAACGTACTGTCAACAAACGATCTATTTACAGTCAATGAACATATCCAAAACTTCAGTCCTACTAGCAGCCCGTCTCCAGGTTCAGAGCGGTGGTAATTTGACTTTCTTCACTCTCTCCTGCAGGCTTGCACGGTCTAAAAATTCCCCCCTCTCCTCCTGCTTCCAAGGGGGGTTTGATGATTTTAGCCGATGGAAGTTTAATCCTTTATGGAAAGCTTTCCAAGACTTTAGCTTGCAGCTTTTTTGCTCCAGTCTATTTACAAAAGGGGAAGGCGGACTTCCAGTTTGAAACCTCCCCATTTCGGTACCAAATTAAGACGTTTAAAAATCCAATTTTCCGTTCTACTCACGGGTAGTTGTTTTAAAATCGAATTGTCCACAGGAAAAAGTCAGCGCTCTCCAGCAACAACAATGCGGCTTCACTCCGTGAAAGAAGCAATCAATTCGCAGCACCGCGCCACTCACCCCACGTCGCTCCGGATCCCCGAAACCGGGTTTCCCCGCGAGTAGGGGAGGCGCAAAAGGTGCCAGCCGAATCCCACGTTCACAGGCTTCACCCGCCTGTGATTTTTTGTGGGTCCCCGCCTTCGCCATGGCGGTCGGACCCTAATTTCCACGAAGCGAATTCCTCCCGATCAGAGGAATTCAGCCATTACCGGAGGCGCTAACCCGGAAGTCTTCCCCCCTTCTTCTGAACCTTCCTGAGAACAGGAGGACAGTGTAGATTTAGAACAGTGCTTTGCAGAAGGGCACAGGCTGCAGAGAACAGAAGCTGGGAAATACTAGCAGGACGAAAGAGAAGCACCAGGAGAGAGGCAGCCAACAGACACTGTGTCTTTGGAGAGCATTCCTAAGCCCCCCTCCCCCAGGATTAGGAGTGCTGTGAGAGTAGCCAAACATAAAGCTCAGAGACAGAAAGCCCAGACGAACTGGCACAGGGATGATGTAGTATGAGAGAGATGAAGGGGGGACGGGACGGGATGTTACTTGGAACAATGCCATTTCTAGGAGAGAGATGCATTATTTTGTCTCTCGCTGTGATTACTGAATAAACTAATTACTAAGAACTCTTCTTTTATCTGCTTCTTTGCTGCTGCTGTGCGAGTGATAGGATTCACTGAAGCCTTGACACCCAAGCTGAATGAGAAAGAATGAGAAGGCTGTGATTTTTAATTTTCTGTTAGCAAAAAGAGCACTTGGGAAAGAAACAAGCCACCCCAAGAGTGCTATCACTCTGCTTTCTGCTTTCACTGTTCTCTCACACCCAAAACGTAGGACAAGGTTGCTCCACATGAAGAACGACTGCTTATTTCTCCCTTAAATCACTGTGATTGGAACAGACTATTTTTCTAATGAATATTTTAGATTAAAGGGTTGTTGTTCTTTAGATCAAGTAAACAGCAATATTACACACACACACACACACACACACACACACACAATCCCATGTGATCTTAGGTAGGTTCCATTACTGGCTGTAAAAACTATATTTCTGCCTTGTCTTTCAGGAACAAATTGTGTCTGAGTATCTGATTGTGTGGCCTGGCCTTGGTGGCTTTATTATGCTGCTTTTCTGATATTATGTTGGACAGCTAGATTTTAAAATATGGCTCTCAAGGACTATCCAGGCTCTCAAGGACAATGGAGGGGGGAAATGCACAAGCACCCTGGCCAACAAATTAAAATGTAAGGCAAACCCACTCAGTCACCCAGACCAGCCACGCAATCAGACAGGCAAGGGCAATAGAGGGGAAAACGTACAAACACTCTGGCCAAAAGTTAAAATAAAATGCACAGCCACCAAGGCAGAGGCAGGGGAAGGAAAGCGAGGAGACGAGGGAGAAAGAAAGACGGAGCCACACTCACACTCAGACCTCACTGGGGGCTCGTGCTGGGCAAGGGAACAAGCTGCAGCTTAAGAAAGGTAATTCGCACTTAGACCGCACAAACAAATCAAGCTCTTCCCTGTGATGACTGTGATGACTCCTAGCTGATGACTCGCGACGGGACGATGAAAAGTGAGGCCAGAAGGCTGGTGCCGCAGCAATTTAGGCTGCTAAACACGCCCCCTCACAGGCACCTGGTTGGGTGCCTGCCCGTGGGCGGCAGCCAGGTGAGTGGGAGGCAGGGGGCTAACGCCCCCTGTTTGAGGCGGAGTCCGGCTCCCGACCACAACCACTCCCCTCTCTTGCAGGAGGAGAGTCTTTGTTTCACTGGTTTGTTTTGAAATGTTATCGATGTGAATTTTGCTTTTGTATTTTGTGTGTATTGCCTTGGGACGCATTTTATTCTTGGGAGGAGATAACCAAATGAAATGAATAAACAAAGGCATTTTCTACACCAGCTTATTTTCCCTCCATTTTATTTTATTTGTACATCATATTTGTATATCAGACAAATTAAGACAATATCTGCTCTCCCCATTGGACCTCCAACTCATTCAAAAGAAATGACTGAATATGGGATGGGGAATCTTTGACTTTGAATCTTTGGATATTGTTGGACTCTAACTCCCATCCACTCCAGCATGCCCAGTGGCCACAAATATGAGCTATGGACCAACATCTGGAGGTCCACAGATTGCCCACCCCTGCAGTCTAAACCATCCTGAGGCAAGGAGACTCAGATTATTTCTTTTGACAATTAATCACTTGCTTCAAAGCATCCTTTACCTCTTTGTTTCTCAAGCTGTAGATTAATGGGTTCAGCATTGGGACCACCAGGGTGTAGAACACAGCTGAGATCTTCTCCTGTTCTACAGAGTACATGAAACTGGGCTGCAAGTGACTTAAGCTTACTGGTCCATAGAACAAAGTCACAGCTGTCATATGGGAAGCACAGGTGGAGAAGGCTTTGATTCTGCCTTCAGAAGTGCGCATCTTTATGACAGAGGAGAGGATGTAGAGGTAAGAGATTACAATGATCAGTAGTGTAGAAATAGCAACTGTCGCAGAGAAGGTTACCAACAAAAGTTCATTAATATGGATATCAGAGCATGCAACTTTCAACATAGCTGGGGTATCACAAAAGAAGTGGTTGATTATACTAGGGGCACAGAATGACAGTCTCAGCAATCCAGAAGTATGTGTGATGGAATTCAATATCCCCCCAAAGTATGCCCCTGCTACTAAGTAAATGCAGACACTTTTGGACATAATAGCAGTATAGAGCAGGGGATTACATATGGCAATATAACGGTCATATGCCATTGCAGCTAAGAGGAAGCCTTCGGTACTCACGAACACTACAAAGAAGCAATGCTGAGTGATGCATCCCGCATAAGAAATGATCTTAGATTGTGCTAAATTCATCAACAGCCTTGGGGCAAAGATGGAAGAATAGCAGAGATCAACTACAGAAAGATTGCTAAGGAAGAAATACATAGGGGTGTGAAGCCGGGGGCTAATCCTGATCAGTACTATCATCCCCATATTCCCAGCCAATGTCAGAATATAGATCAACAGGAATATCACAAAGAGGGGAACTTGAACCTCCAGCCGATCTGTTAGTCCAAGAAGGATGAATTCAGTCGCCATAGTGTAATTGTTTGCAGCCATTTAGTTGTGATGACATGATACTTGCACCTGGTTAACACAATGAAAAGAAGAGGGTCATCACTTCTGATTGGTGGCACTGTTGGTAGCACAGTTACCAAGCCACTATAAAGATTTAAATAGTTATATATTGTTATATCACATTTAAATGTGAACTTACCTGATTCACACTTTCCAAAAGAATCAGCAAGCCAAAACACACACATACTTTGGCACTTGCACTTCTCTGAATCTTGCAATGAAGTTATCCAGTCATGTACTGTGTAACAAATAAATCCTATACTAGGGTGTTGTGTATAAAAATCCATATATTTGTTAAAGTAACATGCAAAAAAGCATAATAGCAAGGGAAATGGCTTTGTAAAAATGTTTATATATATATATATTAGGAGGAAATTGCCCAGAAACGTGTGTATTAGGAGAAATAATGAAAATAAGACTTCTCCTTTTAGAGGCCTGCCAAATTTTTGTTTGTCAGAGCTACACGTTATGAAGCAAACAGAAGGTACTCAACTATTGTCTTCTTCCTAATACTAATTTACAGGATGAAATAAGCAGGAACTGGATATGGGACAGCCATTTTATCCTGGTTTCCCTTCAGCTGGACTACATGACTGGAAATTAATCCAAGGGAATGACATATTGGAAGGGCACTTGAAGGGAAGAATTGGGGGTAGGGCACAGAAATAGTTAAGAATCTCTATCTTCTGATTTACCCCTATAAATCCCCACCACCACCATTTGCATTATTTCATCAAATTAGGGAACTCACATTTGCTGATGGGTACTTATGTTTTTGGGACACGGGTGGCGCTGTGGGTTAAACCACAGAGCCTAGGACTTGCTGATCAGAAGGTCGCGGTTCGAATCCCCACGATGGGGTGAGCTCCCTTTGCTCGGTCCCTGCTCCTGCCCACCTAGCAGTTCGAAAGCACGTCAAAGTGCAAGTAGATAAATAGGTACCACTCCGGCGGGAAGGTAAACGGCGTTTCCGTGTGCTGCTCTGGTTCGCCAGAAGCGGTTTAGTCATGCTGGCCACATGACCCGGAAGCTGTATGCCAGCTCCCTCGACCAATAAAGCGAGATGAGCGCCTCAACCCCAGAGTCGGTCACGACTGGACCTAATGGTCAGGGATCCCTTTACCTTTATCTTTACTTATGTTTTCAGGCCCTTGTAATTGTAACATTACATTCCTGTTCAAGGAAAGTATTTTTTAAATGAACAAACTGAATGAATGTTTATTATTACAGCTAAACAGCCAGCATAGTGAAACCAGAAATTCAGAATATTTTTTACATAAACATTAAAACGGTCAAAATGGAATTTAACAGTCAACATACTAATTGAATAGATTTAAAATATGTGTCCAAGGAAATATAAACTCCAATTAAATAGGCAAACAAACTCTGTTCTTACCAGCACCTTTGTTGGATTTGTCAGGTTCAGGCATGAATCACATACATCTTCATTATCAATCAGTTTGCAATGGAAAACGAAACACTGAATGCAGTTTGCTTGCTGCTACCTTAAAACATGCAAAGGAAATCTGGAAGTCCCAGCTACAGCCGACACCATCTGCAAATAATAGAGGAAGGCAGTCTACCTTTACCAGGAGGCTGGAATGAGTGCATGGCAGCATCACTGCGCAATTTTTACAGGACAGTTGATCCCAGATTCAATGATTTATGATGGGAGAGGGATTTATTATTATTATTATTAATGAAATCCCTGAAGCAACTCTAGTCTCAGAGAAAATAATTAAAAATTACACTTGTGGGAGCTCTAAAAAAAGCTCTGTTTTTTAAAAAAGTTAATTAAAAATTGAATTGCTGTTCTTTCCCCCCTCTATTTGAATATAAATAATGAACATACCTTTCCTCATAATTTATTTTGTTCATGCTTCAAGTACAAGGAACACCATAATCAATATTTGAGTTAGCCCAGTCTTCAGCATGATATAAATAATTTTCTCAGTTTTATATATGCCATATGGGCAGTGGCGGACTTTGGGGCTCTCAAATTCCAGTGGTGTCCTGTGCAACGTCAAAATTCAGCACCCCCTGCCTCTCGTGCTCCTTTCTACAGCATTGTTGTGGTGCCCTTTGTGCCCAAACTGATCATGCTAGCAGTTTGAAAGCATGCCAGTGCAAGTAGATAAATAGGTACCACTGCTGCAGGAAGGTAAACGGCATTTCCATGTGCTCTGGCACTCGTTACGGTCCTCCATGCACCAGCAGCGGTTTAGTGATGCTGGCGACATGACCCGGAAAACTGTCTGTACACAAACGCTGGCTCCCTCGGCCTGAAAGTGAGATGAGCATTGCAACCCCATAGTCACCTTTGACTGGACCTAACCATCCAGGGGTCCTTTACCTTATCTTTACCTTGCTACCCTAAAACTGCCTTTGATATGGGGAATGTATTCCATTGCACTTGAGCCAGAATCCAACAATGGCAGAGCTGGATCCTTTCCACCTGTCTGAATTGCACAAATGGTGGTGGTGTATGTACTCCAGTGTACATACAGAGTACAGTATGTACTCTTGAATCAGACACAGTCCACAATACAATTTGACTGGGCATTTTGTACTGTTTTGTATCTATTTGGCCTAAAGAGCTGTAAAGAATAGCATGAAGTTTAGGAGTGGATAGGACTTTTGCTTCTCTTCCTTCATAGATTCAAGAAACTCTCCTTGCCTGTCATATCTACCATGTCCATGTAAGGATCTCCCATGTATCACTACGAGGGAAATTCTCTCAACACACACAGGGGCATTGTAGTGCATTCAGTCATTCAAATCCTGTAAGAGAGATACATTCTTGGACGGGCTTTCTGTGCACATGTGCAAGCTCCCACAGGTGTTGCTAAAGACACTGATGTGTGAGAGCATGCAGACCCCAAATACCACTACATTGCTTGACCAAGAACTGTTGAACATCTAAAGAATTCACTTTAAATGGCATTGTGTGCGGTGTTTCATTTTGTTAATTAAGTTGCACTAGTTTTTGCTGTCTTCTAATCTTTACAACCTTTGACACATTCCTGCATGTCTGTAATGGGGAGCTTAACTTTTGTGCTCCTATTCCAACCATAGGGTGTTAGCTGAGGCAGTCACGTATGCTGCTTTTGTTCTTAGCAAAGACATGGGTGGCGCTGTGGTCTAAACCACTGAGCCTCTTGGGTGTGCCAATTGGAAGGTTGGCAGTTTGAATCCCCGCAGCAGAGTGAGCTCCTGTTGCTCTGTCTCAGCTCCTGCCAACCTAGCAGTTTGAAAGGATGCCAGTGCAAGTAGATAAATAGGTACTTCTGTGGCAGGAAGGTAAACGGTGTTTCCATGTGCTCTGGTTTCTGTCATGGTGTTCCGTTGTGCCAGAAGTGGTTTAGTCATGCTGGCCACATAACCTGGAAAGCTGTCTGTGGACATACACCAGCTCCCTCGGCCTGAAAGTGAGATGAGCGCCGCAACCCCATAGTCGCCTTTGACTGGAATTAACCATCCGGGGTCCTTTACCTTTTTTGTTCTTAGCAATGCAGCTGCTACTTTCATGGTCACTCATTTTGGTCTAGTTTCTGCTCTGAAGTAACCTGACCATGTCAAGTTCCCCAACCACTAAGGGCAGAATCCCATTGTTGATAGCAAATGATCTGCATTTGACTGGCGTGGAAGGACTGTGTCATGCTCCCATACCAAAACACAGTAACGGTGCTTCTTAACCGAGAATAAGGAAGATATCTTTATTCAGGCTAGTAACAGAAGAGGCTCAGCAGCAATCACAGGGCCCAGAAATCATGATTCCAAGGTACAACGGTTAGACAAGAGGTACACATTTGAATGGAAGCAATGAAGATGTCCCAACAGTTACCACACTCCTCCCACCACGATTTTAAAGAGAGGGCGAGCTCACACACATGACTTTCTTGCTTTACAAGATTTCTGTGAGCACAAACGTAAGCTCCGTTTGGGCTGATGCGTGGGCTCACTGTGTCTTGCCCTCAGACTCTGGATTCACTGCCACCTCTTTCTGATCAGGCTGGCCGAAGTGCTGCCCCTACCCCAGTGAAACTCTATGCTTCACAGGAGGGGCAGTGGAGAGAGCCAGCAGATTTGCTTCTCTCTCCCCCTGATATCTAGAGTTGCAAGAGGAGAACCTCCATCTTCCATCCCCGGGTGGCAGCCTTCAAGGTTCAACCTCCACCACTTCTTCTCTCTTCTCCTCTTCCATTTGGGACTGCCAAACCATGCTAGATCCTGATGAAACTGAGAGGCCTATGACAGACTGAACAGAGAAGGAAAGCACAGTGTATGCATTTAACATATCCAGGGAATTCTGAAATACACACCTTCTCAATTCCCTCATCTCCTGATAAGACGATTGGCATTTAATTCGTTCTTTGTAGGGTAATGCTGGACCTGAAGTTCCATGTCCCTCGATGTCCATAGACAGGAAGGTTTAAGGTATATGTGGTGGGCTGGAAAAAGATGCAGTTGCTAGGATTTTATTATTCTATTGGTATAGATCACCAAAATACATTTGGAAATGTTCCAGTATATTCAGTTGATATAAGGCCATGCCTTAAGATTTTATTGGCATATAGGTGGCCCAGTCCACCTATACTTGGTAACTGTTAAAAGAGATATTTATTGAAATACCACTTTTCTCTGAATCACTTTTCTTAGAGCACATTTTACATCCTTGTTCCTCAGACTGTAGATCAAAGGATTCAACACAGGTATTATCACTGTGTAAAACACAGAGGCTACTTTGTCTGTGTCAAGAAAGTAGCTGGAGCTGGGTCTGAAGTACATGAAAAGAATGGTCCCATGGTATATGGCCACGGCTGTGAGATGGGAGGCACATGTGGAGAAAGCTTTATGCCTCCCCTCAGCAGAGCGAATCCTGACTACAGCTATAATGATGAATACATAAGAGATTATAATGACCAGCAAGGTGCTCATTTCAAACAGGCTACCAAAAATGAATACCAGCATCTCATTGATGT